TCCTTGTTTCCTCTATGTCCTTCCTTGCCTCCTCGCTTCCTTCGTACCCTTCCTTCCCTCCTTGTATCCTCCGTGTCCTTCCTTCCCTCCTTGTATCATCTGTGTCCTTCCTTCCCTCCTTGTTTCCTCCGTGCCCTTCCTTCCCTCCTGGGTTTCTTCGTGTCCTTCCTTCCTTGTTTCCTCTATGTCCTTCCTTGCCTCCTCGCTTCCTTCGTACCCTTCCCTCCCTCCTTGTATCCTCCGTGTCCTTCCTTCCCTCCTTGTTTCCTAGGTAGAAATGTCTCCATCGCTTCCTGCTCTTCAGCGTTTATTGTTTTCTGAGGAAGGTCAAAGATGGCGACCTTTGGCAGGTTGATACTCAGAGGTTCTGGAATCTTCAGAGGTTGAAGGACAGATGAATCTTTGGGATGCTTGGTGCAGACCTCTTCTCTCCATTTGTAAAAAGTTCATTCCTCTTAAGTGCCTTCTGGTCTCAGAGGACACCAGTGAAGGTGTCTCCAGAGGCTCCTCCCCCAGTTCTCCCCCCCACAAACATGGCGTTTGAGAGGAATGATATTTCTGATCATCTCTGTCCTCCTCTTTACATATCTGATCATTTGTAAATATGTTTTCATAGGTTGGCAGATATAGAACTGTTCAAGTAGAAGTTGAGTGATGTTAGTGCCTCCATCTATCTACCTATCTATCTAGTAGGACGTGTTTTTGGTGATGACACTTAAAGCAGAGACTCTGGTTGAGCTCCAGCAGAGCGCCTCCATCCCTGCAGCCATGAAGCAGCTGCAGTTTTCAGATGGTGGAGGAGCTTTTCTGGAAGAGGAGCTGCTGGGTCGCTTTGTTCATTTTAGAGCAAACTGTTTGTGTTGAATAAAACTGACTCCTTCTGAACATCTGCATGGCTCCGACTCTCCTTCCTTCACCTTTAACCCACCAGAGCATGATGCTGCCACTGCCGTGTTTATCATGGGAGCTTTTCCTCAGTGGGTGGATGGGTCTGCTTCATCATCTCTGCAGACTACAGGAATTATTTCCTATTTGAGATGTTGTGGATTTATATTCATAACCAATTCCCATCCAGGTTGGATGCCACATTAATGTTATATAATTACTGTTATATTCTATTCCCAGCCATCTGGGAATTTATATTTCTGATACTTTAAGATGTTTATTGCCCTGATGTTTATCACAGAATTGATAAGGGAATCAGAATCGTGAAAATCTTCTAAATTCCCAACCCTACCCACAACCAAGGGTGAAAGGTGCTGTGCGTGTGGATCTTGTATGCTTGTGTGAATCGTGCTGTGCGTGTGGATCTTGTATGCTTGTGTGAATCGTGCTGTGCATGTGTGGAGCTTGTAGGCTTGTGTGAATCATGCTGTGTGTGTGGATCTTGTAGGCTTGTGTGAATCGTGCTGTGCGTGTGTGGAGCTTGTATGCTTGTGTGAATCGTGCTGTGCGTGTGTGGATCTTGTATTCTTGTGTGAATCGTGGTGTGTGTGTGGAGCTTGTATGCTTGTGTGAATCGTGCCGTGTGCGTGTGGAGCTTGTATGCTTGTGTGAATCGTGCCGTGTGCGTGTGGAGCTTGTATGCTTGTGTGAATCGTGCTGTCTGCGTGTGGAGCTTGTATGCTTGTGTGAATCGTGGTGTGTGTGTGTGGAGCTTGTATGCTTGTGTGAATCGTGCCGTGTTTGTGTGGAGCTTGTATGCTTGTGTGAATCGTGCCGTGTGTGGATCTTGTCCTGT